AAAAACGACTGATGTGATGTTGTAAAATGTTTTCTTTTTGTATTTCCTTTCTTAGTCCAGTCATCGCCAGAAAATGTTGGCATCGCACATTTCTGCAAACCACAGATTCGTTACATTTCTACATTTCCTACATATCATATCAGTGTTGTTAAGGCGACGTAGTTCTGATTACATGTATATGAGCTGACTTTGGCGTGGGGAGGTGGAGGGGATGATGGATGGCATGAGACCTGGGTGAGATGGCTACCAAGCTGCAGACAACTGTTCGAGGCCAACACAACAAAACCAGTAGCGGTGATTGTGGCACCAAAACTAAGTGTTTCTAGCAACACATCCCAGCATTTTCAGCTCTATTCTGCTACCAAAACTGGGTGTTTTTTTTAGCAACATAATGTGGCATTTCTAGCAGCAACTGTGCCTCCAAAATTAGGTGTTTTTAGGGACATATTGCAGCATTTTCAGCAGTGATTGTGCCACTCAAACTAGATTGTTTTTAGTGATACATTGCTGAATTTCCAGCAGAGACTGATCCACCAAAACTGGATATTTTTGTGGGACAAATGGCATCATTTCCAACGGCGATTGTGCCATTAAAACTTGATGGTTTTTAGAAACACATCGCTGCATTTACACATTTCTAGCTGTTATTTTGCCTCCAAAACTTGGTGTATCTTAGTGACACAATGCAGCATTTCCAGCGGTAATTGTGCCATCAGAACTGGGTGGTGTTTAGCGACAAATTTTGACATTTCCAGCAGCGATTGATTTACCAAAACTGGATGTTTTTATCATCACACTGTGGCATTTCCAGCAATATTTGTGCCAGCAAACCTTTTTAAAAAAAACATTTTTAATGACAGGTGGCTGCATTTCCTGCAATGATTGTGCCACCAAAACTGGGTGTTTTTTAGTGACACATCACATTCTCATCAGCAAACGTGCCACTGAAACTGGTTATTTCAAGCCAAATTATGATCTTTTAACCAAGTGCTTTTTGTGCCTAAACATAAACAACTATAAACTACAACATTTTTGAAAAGTAATAAAACCTAAAGTTTTAACATATATAATGATTAAAACTCTGTGTGTGTGTGTGTGTGTGTGTGTGTGTGTGTGTGTGTGTGTGTGTGTGTGTTCCAGGTTTTTCTCCTCACTGACTTGGTCAATCCATGTGAAATTTGGCACAGTGGTAGAGGGTCATGGGAGGATGCCAATGAAGCAATATTACATCAATTGGCCAAAGGGGGGCGCTATAGCAACCCATTGACATGTCAAACTTTGAATGGGCATATCTCCTGCCCCGTATGTGGTAGAGACATGAAACTTTGCACAGAGATGCCTCTCCTCATGAGGAACACATTTGCCTCAAGAACCCATAACTTCCGCTTACATAGATTTTCCACCATTTTGAATTTTTTGAAAAACACTTCAAATGGATCTCTTCCTAGGAAGTTTGAGCGATCTGCATGAAACTGGGTGAACATAATCTAGGGACCAATATCTAAAGTTCCCTCTTGGCAAAAGTTGGAAAACTTACTAAAACTGAGCTTCTATAAGGCAATGAATATTGTGGAGGGCGTGGCTCATCACATAAAGGTGTATAACATCTCAAGGGTTTCACCCATCACCACGCAACTTTGTAGGCATATGACCACACATAATCTGAGGGGACCCCTCCATTATTGACCCCATCAAACAAAATGGGGGCGCTAGAGAGCTCATTTCTTATCTAGGCCTAACCACCATATGGATTTTTACTAAACTTGGTAGATATGTAGAACAGGACGCCTCAAGGTGACTGGAGAAATTTAACTCTAATTGGCAACTGGGTGGCGCTATAACAACAGAAAAATGCTTAAAAATGGCTAAAATGCGACCGATAGCTGTGGCTCCCCCTGTGGACCAATGTTGGTGTTTTTTCTAATTTTAGGTATGACTAAATCATGGTATGGTATGCTGTACTCAATGGGTATGGACTAGTTTGTTACAAAATAATGGTTTTCAAGAACAAACATTACCAACATTTGTTCTGGGGAATGGGTTGTTTTTACCAGACCATTGAAAATTGTAAATCAACATGACTTCTTTAGCTCTATTTAATATTTTCCATTCTTAGTTTAAGGCAAATTAAAATATTTTAGGATTTAATATTTGTTTGACAGTATGTTACTTATGTGAGCTCCTGCACCTTTCCTCTTAACTGAGCCTTCATGTCACTTGCCATTATTACAAATTATTTTATCCAGTGGTTCATTATTATTGCCGTCTGCCTTGCAGTCCACCACTGGACAGTCTGAAGAGCTGCAATGCATTTTGGGTCTGTTGAGCTCATGTCTCATACTCACAAATTCTTGCAAATCTAGAATAGGCTACATCCGGCTAGTTTGTTGGAGGAGAGATGTTCCAACAGTGCTCCATTATCCCCACTGGTGCAGAGGAAATTTACTCAAGTACTGCACTTAACTACAATTTTGAGACACTTTTACTTTACTCAAGTATATCCAATTTAGGCTTCTTAATACTGCTGCTTCATTTCAGGAGTAAAAATATACTTTTCAGACTTATTAAATATGATGCTGTATCGATTAAAGGCCACATAGTGTTTTCAGTTATGTTGCAGATTAGATCTCCTCAGGATGGAGTTGTGTGAAGCTCTGTTGGGATTTATGTGACGTCATCATGGATTTATAAGAATGATAAAGTTGTAAACAAATAGAGCGCCCCTGAAGTCTTGAAAAAAAGTTGTTTTTTTATCTTGTTGCACATGACAATAACTATCTTGTGTGGAAAAAAATAAATAATCATCTTTGAGGACCTTTGAAGGCTCCATCAGTCTGATGGAGGCCATTTTGCACAGTGAGTACTTTTACTTTCCATACTTTAAGTACATTTTGCTGGTTATCTTATGTACTTTCTCCACACACACCAAATATTTTCATTTAATGCAATGATAATAAGAAATTAAGAAACTATTGAGCTGCCTCCACCATCATCTGTTATCACTCAGTGAATCACTCACTTTGCATGTGTTTTTTTCACAGAGCATTCGTCTAATTTTGAAGTTTGTTTTCAGCAGCAGCAGCAGCGTGCTCACATCACAGTGTGTATGTACTGTCGGCCCAGCGGGATGTGACGCGCTAATCCTTCCTTTGGGGAAACGTTGGAGGAGGAGGAGAGCTGCTGCTGACAGCTTCACAAACAACCCCCGCTGCTGCTGCTGCTGCTGTCGTCTGCCGAGTGGACTCGGCCTGCAGCTGCACTCTGAACACACTCGTGTTTATCTGGTGTCTAATGTCTCTGAGATTAACTGAGATTTACTGCTGCTCTGCATCTCTGAAGTTGAGTTGTGATGATTGTAACGGATCATTAGATCAAACCCCCTTTATCATCATTTTAGGCCTGTTCATAAATATATTCCTGCTACACACACAGCTGGGTCAGGTCGAGTCAGTCTCACTGATGCAGCCCAAAATCACAAATTTGCCTCAAAGTGGCTTTTCAACATCTGTGTGGTACATACATGTGTTGCTGCGTGCACCAGAAGAAAACTTCATCCAGGTAGCAATATAACAAGTTGTTAAAATCAGTCCCACCTTTACCAGCTGCAACATTAAAGGCTGTACATGTGAGGTTTTGGACATTAAAGCCCCCCTCCAGTGGCATTTTTATATTTCAGTCATGTTGTGACAATGTTGATTAGCCACACTGTTTGACAAATATTTTTTGACAAATTACCTAATTTTGTGCTCAAAGTTAGAAATAGAAGGTTGCTGCTAAAACAGGAAGATGACTTATGACTACAGTAGAGTCAGCGTGTCATATGTCATCCTCCACGCTTGCGCAGGCGTACTGTTATAAACATCATACACATTATTGTGAGCTAGCCAGTCAGCTTATCTTGTATCTTACCATGATGACTGCATCGTGGCCTCAGTTATTCTTCTCTGCGTAGTTGCCCTCCACCGTAGTTTATGTGTGGTTTATTTTCATGACAGCATTTATAGCCTTCCGCTTTCTCTCTGCTACAGTGCACCCAGGTCTACTGTCTGAAATGCAGTTGCGGGACATGTTGAAAGTTTGCACCGTCCACCAGCACCGCCCCCCCACGGACGCAGGGAAGTGTACGACTTACAGTCAAAAAGTTAATATGACAGAAAAACATAAAAAGAATCACAGTGCTGCTTGGAGCAGTGTTACGTGACACTGTAAATGTAATCACCGAAACCTTGTTGGTAACGAGTTATATTACTTTGGCACCGCTAACACGTATATTACTGTCACTCCCAATAATGTTTGTACACACTTTGTCACTTTTTATACCATGTTACCTTTATTGTCTTAATCTCTGACTTTTTCCTCCTAAAATTACAAGTTTAATCTTTAAACATTTTGACTTTATTCTCGTAGATTTACAATTTTATTCTTGAAGATTTACAACTTTATTCTCATAAGATACTGACTTTATTCTCATTATAGGCTATTATGACTTCATTCTCATAATATTATGACTTTATTCTTGTAAATTTACGACTTTATTCTCGAAATCTAAGTTGTTGTCTTTATTCTTTAACATGGCTGTAATCCTTCTTGGTAAAACACAACCCTGCAAGTAGGAGTTTGAGGGTTTATCAGACACAGCAGTTTTTACAAATGTAAGAAAATATTTTACGATTCTAGAATGAAAGTTGTAAGTCTTATTTTTTTGTGCTCGCTATAACATTGTGAAGTCTGAACATTTTTAGGTGAAGGCTCCAAATGAGGCCACTCGGTGTTCTTGCTCCCCCTGCACTCTGTATTATTTCTGTAATGTTTCTGTATTTTAAATTATACATAAATAAAAACAAAGATGCGATGTCATCATGAAAATTGTCACTGTCACCTTTTTTCTTTAGACCTTCAAACATTCCCCGACGTGAAGAAAAGAAAACAAAAAACAGGTCGTTGCGTAATATCCGCGCAGCTTTGATGCTCGTGAACGCGCCTTCGAAAGGAACCCTGGGAACGACAAGATGGCGGGACGTTCAAAAACTCCGCCGACAGGCCGCATTTACATCAGAATAAACTGTAAATAAAGTACAATTTAACGGGAATCTGTCAACCGACAAACCGTCAACTGATCGCCCGGTAACGGCCGGTAAACATGAACCTTTGCCGCGGGAAGTTGGACCCTCCGTGCGGTCTGACAGGCTCCCCGCTGCAGCACCAGGCAGCCACAACAAAACCAAACCGACTGAGGAGAAGCTTCAGGCAGACACAGGTCGACCCTCCACAGAGCCAACAGCCGGGTCAGTGACTGTATTCATGTTCGTTTGGTGTTACTGTAGGTGTTTGAAGTTGTTTCTCATAGTTGCCTGTCGCTGGTGTCTGCTGTGGCGGGTACAACCCCCACAACGTCCCGCTGTGCTGCACTTGTACCAAACTACGTTCAAATTTCTCGCATTTTTAAGTTTTCTTGTATATACAAGAAATATCCTGGATCACAAAACATGACTAAGTACATTTTTACAAACCACAGTTCTCAGTCTTTAATTCGGCGTACAACAGGCTTACCACGTTGCTGTTATGGCTGTAAAATTCAAAGTTAAATCAATAGTTTGCCCCTTTTTCCTGCGTCGTGATCAACCAAAACAAGCCTCTGACTGCGTTTGAAAACAGTGTGATATGAAGGGTAGATTCAGATTTAAGTAGAATATAATACTCCCTGTTGGATTATGTGTACAGGGAATTTACCTTAAGACTCACACAAACCTTCATTAATTTAATCGTGTGTACATGTTTTTCATATCAACAAAACTACATTAAATTTTCATACTTTTTTAACTGCAAGTTAACAGAACATATGAAGCAGGCAGTTTGTGTCTTTCTTTAGTAAAACTGAACATGTATATTATGTGTATTCACAATATTATTATTCATCATTACGCCTAAGCAGTGTCTGCCCTACTTAAGTGTCCTTTAGCAAGACACAAGCCCTGACCTCTGACCTCTAGTGCAGAAAAAGACACTTACAGAAAGTTAACTGCAGCAAAATAGGTTAAGCAGTAAATGTTTGGGAATCTGTTCTTGAGTCAGTTATTTGTATTCCCACTCCTCCAGATTTCAAGACTCCGACCAGAATCCCAAGATCCAGAGCAGTCAGTGTTTTCAGTGGAGAGTCTCCGCAGAATGACTCCGACTTTCAGCAGGACATCATCTGGGACGCCACCTCTCCTTCACCCAACAGACTTGGTAAACGTTAGACTCCCAAGTGTCCTAATAAGGTTCATCATTTCAATTACTGCTGCAAAGTGTGGACAGTCAAGTAATTCACAATGTGTCTGTCGTCTCTGGGGAAACAAAAATGACAAATACTTGATGTTTCCAGCCCATTTTATCCTGTTTTCTGTCACTGTAAAGTTAACATCTTTGGCATAATTAATGTTGCAGGTTAATGTTTTGGCTTGCTGGTTGAACAAAACAAGCTGATTTGAGCTGTGTGGTGTTTCTGTTTTTCTTTTCAGGTAAAAGAGGCAAGAAGCAGCGTGCTGGAGTTGTGAACATCTCAGAGATTGTTAACAGGATCGCTCCAAAAGTCAGTAACACTGTTGTCTGAAACACATTTGAATTCTTGAACCTACTTTGTAAATGATTATCAGTGTTTCCACTGTTAGCGACTGTGCTCTGAATCACAGCTCAGATCGGCCAAATCAGAGCCAATAAACATCCTGTATTAATATTCCTGTGGTGTTGTTGTCTCTCTGAAGCATGGCAGACCGAAGGTTGCAGAGCCAACTTTACAGCAGTGGATCGGAGACAGCGCCACCATTCCCTGCACGCCAGACGTTCAAGTTCCCAAACCCAAGAAGAAGTCCCCGAGGTAGGTTCAGGAGAAGCAACAAATACCAGTGTGTTTGCTGTGATGTTTATGAAACAGAGCTGTGAACTGTGATGACATCATGGCTGTTAATGAGCCTCAGGTTTTTATCTTCATCCTGTCATTAGGAATCTATAAGCTCATTTAAAGGTCCAGTGTTTAAGATTTAGGGAGATTTAGTGGCATCAAGCAGTGAGGATTGCAGATTGCTACCAGCTGAAATGTCTGCCTGTTACAGTTGTGTCGGGAGATTTTTACCAGGAGCTGAATTATCCACAGAGGTTAAAAACAAATAGACCAGGTGATTTAAACAGGTAAAAACACTGAATAAAGCAGTTTCCCATCACAAATCAGGGCTTCTTCTACCCTGTTTGGCATGTCTCAGACAGGCTGCTATTCCACCACCACCACCACCAGGAGTTTTTTACCGTGAGTTAAATTATCTGCAGAGGTCTGTTCCTCTCCAAAACAAACTGCCCTGTGATTTAAACAACTTAAAACACTGAATAAAGCAGTTTCAAGTTATAAATCACTGTTTTTCCAATGGTGTTGGCATGTTGGAGACAGGCTGTGTGTCTAGCACCTGCTGACGTGTGATCCAGATCCAGACGGACCCCGTGATTAAGACCGGTAAAAACACTGTATAAAGCAGTTTCATGTTTAAAGAAAATCAGCATATTTTCGACGCTGCTTGTGCAGAGGAGCTGCTAACTACAGTGGCCGGCGTGAAAACATGAACAGCCCTACTAGAGCCAGTGTTACGGTGGGCTACTGTGGAAACATGATGGTGCAGCATGGTGATCTCTGTAGACGAGGATCTGCTCCCTATGTAGATATAAACAGCTCATTCTCAGGTAACAAAAACACAACAATTCTTATTTTCAGGTGATAATACACTGAAGAAAATATACTTATTATATTTTATTCCATTTCTGCTAATATATCCCCCTAAATCCTTCACACTGGAGCTTTAAGGAAGTTTGTATCTGTGACATGTGGTCAGATTATCTTGACGTCATTACAGTAAACATGTACTTTTGTTTTGTCGCAGGCCAAACGGAGTGGACGACCTGCTGAAGCTGGCCAAACAGTTTGACTTCAACATGTTTCGTCAGGATGAAGAAGAAGCGGAGGACTTGCACCAGCAGAGTCTGGAGCTCCTGTCAGAAGACATCCTGGATTGGGAGAATGGTTCTCAAAATGACTTTTCACTTTCGCTTCCTGGAAACAGTCACCCAGCTGTGAAGCCAGTGGCGGCGGCGGCGGCGACGACAGCAACTGAGACAGACGTGCAGCTCCAGCTGGATCAATATATGGAGGACGATTTGGATTTCCTGTTTGATGGACCGACCCAACATGTCAGCGGGAATCTGAGTCAGGTGTCATCAGCTCAGCCGTCACAAGTGAAACCTTCTTCCAGTGAAGCTTCTGGGAAACTGTCTGCTTTCTCGCACAGTCCCACTGCTGGTGCTTCAACGACCAACACAAAAGGAGTTTCAGCAAAAGATGAGTTTGAGGACGATTGGGAAAACGATGACTTGCTGAATGACTCTTTAGTGCTGGAGATGACACAAAATCCACAGAGCTTCATTGCTCCAAAGCACTGTTCAACCCAAAAACCACCCAGTCAGATAAAATATCAAAGGCAAAGTCCAGCAACTGTCCAATCAGCTGTTTCTAAAGTGGAAAAGGACAATGTGAGACCAAGAACTACTTTTAAACTGGAGTCTAATCCTAATTTTTTTGTGGGAAAAACCCAGACGGACGCACGGACAAACTCGAAGGATTACAACTCAAAAACAGCAGAAAAAGACTCTCAGCAGAAGTTTTCATCTGTTAAGAGTGTTTTAGTCGAGGTGGGCTCTCAGCGTACCTGGCAGACAAACACAGTGAAGTCAGACACACAGTTTCATCAAAGGACCTCTGTTGCCAAACACAACACGGCTGCGTCGCACACATCAGCTACACAAACAACTCAAAGCTTTCCAATAAAACCTGCGGTGGTTTCATTCCACAGTGAGACGCCTGCCGTCTCTGACCTCCTGGATGAGGACTTGTCTTCATTCTTCTTGTCCGACCCAGTTTGGGACGACCTCGCTGACGACGACCTGCTGTGTGAAATGTGTGAAGATTTGGAGAACCAGATCCAGAGTGCTGAGAACGTTTTCATCAAACAGACCCAGTCTAATCAGAGAGCAGCTCTGCAGCCGTCCAACAGGAACCTGCAGCCAGCCAGTCAGCAAACTTTCCAATTCAAAAAACAAACGCCAACAAGTCTTCCACATGCTTCAGGAAGACCAGCTGGTGGTTTTGGCTATAAAGTGGCTGGAGGTCACACACAAGTGAAAAACACTTCAGGATCCACAAACAGCTCAACGTGCGTGCAGAGGAGCAGCTGGGTCCAGTCAGCACCGCAAGGAAACTCCCACAAAGACCAGTTCACCTTCAAGAAGCCAAACAACCCAGTTCCTACCGTGACCACCACAGGTAAGAGCACGTCCACACGGAGCACAGCGCCCTCCTCCTTCAGACACATGTTTTAATATCACAGCAGATTCAGGCTGACAGAGACAGAGAGGTCTTGCACTGATGACCCAACGACAACCACATCATCAAGTCAGTTTGACAGTTTGTGAATGGATAAATTAAACAAACAAAATCTTGCAAAATCAGTGAGATCATGTTAAGCTTCCAAATCCTAACCATTCTTCCACAAAAATATGATTTAATGGAGTGGTGCCTATTTCATCACAGTAGGGGCGGGTGACATGGCCATAAAATAATACCACAATATTTCAGGGTATTTTTGCGATACGACAAATGAGTAAAATCAATATTTCATTATTAATTCAAGAACATAAACTGCAACGAAATCAGTGATATATTTTTACAGTTTGCTTCATATATTAAGTAAAAACTGAAGAAAAATGATCTCTTATTTCTTCAGTTTGTGAACAACAACAGTAACTCAGAGTGAGATTCAGATTCAAATACAAAAAATGTCCCCTGGGATCTATATATATATAAATCAACAGCTGATTTCCTTCTTTTAGTAAAATCCTAAATGATTGAGTTGTTTCTTTTTCCACCTGGACCTTTATGCTCTGCCATTTCTCCTCTAATCATCATGCTGTAACCTGTGACAGGCTGTTATGATACAGTCACATATATGGAGTTTATTCACGTAGGTTTACATCACCAAAGGTTTTTGACAGAATCAGAGAGGAGAGGGAGAGACGCTGTGCTGCTGCCAGAGGAGCCGCTGAATGAGTTCCCTCTGAGCGCTAAGAGAAGGAAAACATTCAGGACGCCACACTTTATTCCACACTACTGAAGCTGCTCCTCTTTTTGGAACCACCGCACCACCAGTCACTAATAATTTCACTGGCAGCCATGATTGTTGTTGCCGTGGGTAACAGTATGACATGTCAACAAGTTGAAATATCCCGAGTATCATGATATGAATTTTTCATATGAAAAAATATACCAGTATTTTCGTGAAGGAGATGATATGACACACCTAACAGTTATTTGATATATTTGGTCTGAACTTGACTTCAAGATTAAAGAGATTCCTGAAGTAATTTTTACTCCCACTGAAGCTTATTATTTATTATGATGGTCAGTAAGTTCTTTAAAGACATACTTACATGATATTTTCCAGCTAACGTGTTACTGAAAAATAACAAAATGGTCGCCAGTGTTAGTGCATTGAGTCTGTGTGAACAGTGTTATTGACCACTAAGGTTAGCGCTGACTTCTTCTTCAATAAAACTCGAGCCTCACTCGAAGACATCAATATTTTTTCTTCAGCCTTTTTCGGTGTATCAGTTTAAAATAAATGATGAATGCTAAAAGGAGACGAGGCAGCTGTTTAAGATGAGGAGCAGCAGGTTCTTACTGCATTTTGAGCGAACATCAACGCTCCAGCATGTCATGAAGGTAAGCAGCTGTTTTTACTGTGATGTTTCTGTTACATCACCTGAGTCACACTGCGTCACAGCTCGCTATATCACTCTGTGGAAATGCTTGTTGTTGCACTGTGACTGTGGTTAGTGTAGAAACTTTGGTGCCCACAGTTTGGGAAACTGTCTCTGGCTTCACCACAAGAAACATGAAGACAATAGAAACAGTAAAAAAAAACTGAGGTTGATGTTCAAGGGTAACAAATAGGGTTGCAAAGGGCTGGTAAATTTCTGGAAGATTCACGTAAATTATCCAAGGGAAGTTAAGCGCTGGAATTCTGGAAGTGTTGCACAATTTCAATGTAAAATCGTACTGTTTCAAAGTGAACTGATTTGGGGGAAATATACACACAAAATGGAGAATTATGATTATTTAATTGAATCATTTTTCACTATTCACTGCAGTCAGCTGCGCTCTTCATCAAACGTACAGATCATTAGCAAGCATCCGGTTAAAAATGAATTAGCATGGATAGTGAAAATGAGGCTGACGTGGAAGAAGTCCACGGAGAGGATGTGGAGGTCTGAGAGGAAGCCTCTTATTTTGGAGGGGACTAACAGGGAATGCTGTGTTGTTGTGGTTGTTCAATGAAAGTTCAATACAGTATTAAATGAGTCAACTTATTTAAAGATATACTTTGCAGGATGTTTCTAAAAAGTCAAGGCCAAAACTGTAGAATATAGTGCTGCGTACTTATACTGTCATGATGATGTTAGTGACGTGTAGGCGGAGTAATACAATGTTTATGGGTCTAGTACCCGGTCTAGCGGAGTGCATGTAATGCTGGCTACAAGTGTGTAATAAAGTAACACTCTTGGAGTTAAAGACAAGCCTATGGATATCCGTCATGTATGTCGAGTCATCCGGTCATGAAGAACCGTAACAAAAACACATGGGTCATAGATGCGATGCGACATATCTGCCGCAGCATGCCGACAGCAGAGCGCGTCATTATGTCCAACTGAAGCTGCTACACTGACCATGGAGGCCATGCTTGCCCGCGCAGGCACGGCGCTGCCCTTCCCTCTAAGTCATCACTTATGACCCACTCTCACGCCGTACATTTACGTGACATTAGAGAAAATCGATTTATCGTGTCAGTCTCACTAAAACTGGACTTTTAAAAAACGTGTTGGTCCGATTGAAACTGTGCAAAGTCAAATTTCTAGTCCGACGAATGCGGCTGGGAGTTGAATTCCTCCTGCATGTATACAGTCAATCAGACCCAAACTGGCCGAGGCGCTCTGAGCATGCTCCACAGTTTCCGCCCCGGGCTTTGAGCCAGAAGTCCAATAGCATTAAATGTGTAAGAGAAGAAGAAGCCGGTAACAACATGGCGAAATCTACATCCAGAGCCGTGACTTTTTGGACGCACCAAATGTACAGAGCTGTAAAGTTGTCCACCATGGTACCAGTTAGCAGCTAGCTAACCGTAGCTAACTTGTTTGTCCATTGTTTGGTCTGTGACGTAATAGGTCAACAGGAAAAAGGTCCAATACTAACAAGCTGAAAGGGGGCATATCTCCACCTATCGTAGAGGAGTTGCACATACTTGGCTCAATAAATGGATTCCCCTCCCGTGCTTGTATACTGGGACAAGGACAGTAGGCCAGTTAGATGGACTAGTCGAGCTGTCTCCGTGCTTGTGAACGTAGCGAGGAGACTCAGCCCTCTGTCTAGATTTTCTTATTTTCCTCTTATCTTCTGTGTTTGGGATGTTTATGAGCGTTTACCCCCACAGCGCTCAGGTGAGGTCGGGGCTTTCTAAAAACATAGGCCGTAAGCAGCAGGTATCCAAGAGACGCAGCGCCGAAAAATGCAAATATAGTGAGCTAACGTGCCAAATCTGGGGTTGGCTTTGACTTTCACTGTTGAGCGTGTTTATAAACCGTGACCAACAATCCTGCAGAGTGTACCTTTAATTACAGTTCAACTTAACTTTACTGTTGATTGTTTTTCATTTCAAGTAGAAGGGTGTAGAGTTATGTCTTTGAGATCTGGCTCTGTACCTTTTTAAACTGACTTTCCATTCACTTGTATTTCACATAATTTAGTCTTTAGTTATTAATTATTGTAACGTTTGTCATAGTTTTAGTTTAAAAAGATTTTTTGTTTAATAGTCTTTGTGGAGTAACAGTCCTCAGATGTTTGGTGATGAAATTGACTCTCTGTATCTTCTGTGTTTTCTCTGCAGCTGTGGGTAAATGTTCAGCAGCAGAGATCGAGCTGAAGAAGCAGCAGGCGATGGAGAGAAGACGTCAGAGACTGCAGGCTGCCCAAAACCTTCGAGCTCCCACCTGACGGAGACGAATAACAACAAGCTTGTCTCACCTCACCTGCATGACGAAGAAACCTGCCGTCAGAGCTCCACCTGCTCAGACCTGCTGTTTGTTGGCACCAGTGTAGGTTTCTGATGACTTTCTCACATGTGAGAATTTAAATCTCTGAATCAGTTCGACCAACATTTCTTATATAAATTGATGCTCTTGTAAAATTAAACTGTACATGTACTGTAATATGATTAATGTCTTGTTTATATTCTATCAGACTTTTTTTTAAAAGTTTTTTGTTTTGTGTGTGGCCCTTTCTACACAGAGATGCAGTTCAGAGCCGCTGCGAAGTTCCTTTCTTACACAGCCTTTCCGTTTTTAAACAGCACCAAGCAATGGCGGCAACATGTGTAATTTTAAACAGGCACAACAGATGTGACATTAACACAACAGCATCAGCCTCTAGTGTGACATATAACATAAACATCAGCAGCGCATTATAAACAGCAACAATGGCATTAACATGGCAACAACAATCACTTACCATCCCCGTTATATGGCGTCTGATCTCGTCTTCTGCTTGGAGGGTAAGAAGCTCCTGGACCTCATTGTTTCCCCAATTTGTGGACGTTTTTGGCCGCTGTTCTTCTTCTTTGAGTTAGCTGCTAACTGCTACAAAATTCTTTTTAAACCTCCCGGCAGTGGGTCACACACACATAACACACTATCAAAACGTCACCACTGTCTATTTCACAGTCACATCCTGCTGGCTGTCCCTTTTACTCAAACGTAGATTCGGCATCGTCACTACCTCCGCTGCCGGCTTAAAGGCAAGACAACTCCCCCAGTTCTATGATTGTGTCTTTTATAAGGAACGATGATATGGAATAACAGCCTGATATTCCTGCCTTGAACAGGAAGTCTAAAAGGAGCTTGTGTGTGTTCAGCACAGAGCTGGAGTCAGGGCTTAGTTAGCCTAGCTTAGCATAAAGACAAGAAGCAGGGGGAAATGGTCTGCTTGTCTCTGTCCAAAGTTAAAAAATACACCGGGCAACACCTCTAAAGTTCACCGAGGCAATGCTAACAGTTTGCCCCTGCTTCCAGTCTTTATGTTAAGCTAGGCTAACCACTTCCCGACTCCAGCTCTGCACTGAACGCACAGACATGAGAGCGGTGTCTAACTTCTCATCTCACTTAGTCCAGAGGTTTGGGAGGTAATTTGTCTTCTCTCAGATGAAAAGACGGATGTCAGTTAAATTTCAGGCTAGCATCTTCCCCCTGCTCGCAGTCTTTGTGCTAGGCTAGGCTAACCACACGCTGGACAGGCAACAAAAGGATTTTCCAAAATGACGGACTGTTCCTTTAAGAAATTCTAGTATTCAGATTGATTTCTTTCTTGATCATGAACACGAGGAGTCACTGTTCTCACCCAGCTGTGTGCAGTTTTCTTTTTTATTCGCTTGATTTTCTGTAAAGCACTTTAACTGACCGATTAAAGTTTTATTGTTGATGTCATCTCTGGTTTTAGTCTTGTTGTTGGATATTTCATGTGATAGAGAGGCACAGCAAAGAGCCTCAGATCAGTTTGTGACAGGCGTTCAGACATCTATGAAAACACTTTTTAATGGTTGGTTGACTGATCTGTACAAAATGCAGCAGGATTTAATGGCATCTAGTGGTGACATTGCAGATTGCAATCAACTGAAACTTCTCCTGTGTGCCAAGCTTGTAGAGTTTGCCTCTTTATTAGCAAATGGGTGTGCACAACACACTGATACAGTCAATTTAAAATTAATTCATAAGTTACTGTATAGGCCCAGGTGAATATTGTAATAGTAATGGCTGGTTATCACAAAATCCCACGGCACACCAGTGAACTGCAGCACACCATTTGAGAACCACTGATATGGACCACACTGAAGTACAAATCCTTGAAAGTTTGGGAAAAGTCATGAAATTTACTTGTGTGTGATGAAATCTTCAGTGGATAACTTTCCACGTAATGCAACATAACAGTAAAATTATTCTCTGAGGTTGTCGACGTCTGTGTGACAACATTTTGTTTAGCATCAGCTACCTTTCTTCATTTTCTCCTCATCTCAGCGGGGTTTCTGTGAAGTGCTGTAAAGTTGAGTTTATTCAAAATACATTAAACACACATTAAACATGGCTTAATAGAGACAGTTTCAAACACAAGTACACAAATCAGCTTCACTATAACTCGCAGCATTCACAGACAAACTCTTGTCTTTATCTGGACACATTTTCCCCACAAATACAACATGCTAACATTATTAGCACAAGCCTATGGAATTTTACATTGTATAAATTAGCCTAGCGACTACTGGAGATTTCCTCTGCTCATATGAAGCCAGGGACAACAGCAACATTTAACAAAGGTAACGTTACAAAATTCAGCTCCATTACAACTCACAAGGTTCACTGATTTAAGGCAGCTACCTGGAATTATGTTTGAATACAGTTTGAATCTGATTTGTTTGAAAAACGCTGAGCAAGTGGGACAAGAAAAAAATTATATTATGGGTCCTTAAAAAGTCATGGAAAACTGTGTATGAATGTTATAATAACCAGCAGCTGTAGCTGTCAAATAAATGTAAAGGAGTAAAACAACAGTGTTTTCTTCTGACATATGGTGGAGTAGAAATACAGACTCCACTGAAACAGAAATGTCCCTGAGCACGTCAAACAGCACTGGAGTCAGTGTACTTAGTGAGCACTGACTTTGATAAAGAAAATAAAAATGAACCACACACAGGTTAAATATTTATCTCTCAGTAAAGTAAAAGTTTATTGATATAAAGGTGACAGATTATTGATTATGTGGCTGCAGCAGCGTCACCTGAAGATCAGCCAGGGACGGGGGGGTCACCTGTCCCTGTGCGGTCAGGTGGTCCGTCCGGGCTCGTCAGCTCTCCTCATTAACAGTCTGGCAGCTGTCTGATGGAGCAGATATTTCGTCCCGGCAGGTAAACTGAGCCTCGTTATCAGCAGACAGGTGTGTAACTGTAGTCCAGCACGCTGCTGCAAATCACAGGCGCACAGATGTAATCTGCCTCGGTTTAATCACGCTGCCTTTGTCCCAAACGTACTCCGGGATTCACTTTACTCCATTTGTAAAGGAAATTTCTCTGAACTTTCTCTTTGCAAGTAGAAAAAGTTTTTAATTATAAAGTAGCTCATTTTGGCAGTGAAAGTCCTGAAGGTCAGAGCCGTGTGTCAGACATCATAGGTCACAGTGGGATTTATTTATTACTGATGTTTATGAGTGTAAACATCCATTTAAACAAATATTTACATTCTGCTCTGATTATCTTCAGTCTGGAGGAAGAAATAATCCCAATGTCTTCTTAATTTAACCTCAGGTAGAGTTCCTGCTGTGTCCCCACTGCATGCTACAAACTATATCACATATAATAACATGTAACTCAGTATGTTTACAGTGTGCAGGAGGCTCTGCTCACATTAAAAACCACAAAAAATTAAAACAATGTCGGTGTACAGGCTTAAAACAGGAGGATTTGTGTAGATTTGTTGTTTCCTGGTACAGAGCAACACTGTGGGGTTCATCAATTAATTTGCAAAGTAATAATTCATGATTTGAAAAGGAAAAACAAACCACCAGCTAAAACATACGATATATTCATCAGTAGGGCTGCAACTAACCATTATTTTCAGTGTCGACTAATCTGTTGATTATTTCTTCGATTAGTCGACTCAAAATGTTGAAAAATGTCGGTCTGTCTCTCCCAAACCCCAAAATGATGTCATCTAATGTCTTGTTTCGTACTCATGCCAAAGGGTTTTAGGGGTTTGAAGGTTGTTTTTTTTTTTAAAGCTGCCAATATTTGAACATAAGAAGCTGCAATAAGAGTATTTTGGGTACTTTTATAGTACTTTTCTACTCAAACCGATTAGTCTAGTACTAAAATAGTCACCGATTATTTTAATAGTCGATTAGTCATCGATTAGTTGACTAATCGATGCAGCCCTATTCATCATACCATTAATCAACAAATAAATTAATTTATATTTATATGGTAAGATAAATAGATCAACAACAAATAACATGCACAAGTGCTAGTTCTCATAAACACAGTGTGGGATTAATGTACTGTTCATTTTTTTGTGGCTCATAGATTTTATTTAAAAATTTGTTGTCAAAAGAACTTTTTCTTGTGAATGCAACTGATATGAAAAAATTACACAAGAACTGACCCTTTGCTAAGTCCCGCCCCCAGACGCAGACTGGCCTATCGTAATGTAGCATCAGGCCGGCTCAGACTAGCGTATAACAACAACACCTTCATTTCCAGGCTGGTTTTGTGGATTTGGAGTTAATTGTTGTGCCTGGGGCACATCGTGTATTAATGATACTCGTTACCTGGAGAGGTTGGAAAAAGATATGTTTCTTCCCTGTTCCAAAACCAAAATCATACCCTGTAAAGTGTAGGGTTAGCTAGCTAGCTACTGAAGATATAGCCTACTGAATGTATACACATGCTGCTTTTGCTTTTTAATTATTATAACAGTGAAACAAAGACCGACCCTGCTGTACAGAAACCAGTGAAGGGAAGCATGGAGACTTTGCTGATATCCAACCAGCTGTGTGTCATCGCAGTGTGTGCAGATGAACGTTATGCCTGTTTCAGCCTGTTAGTAAATGAAATCAATCTGATGGGCAGCTCAGATCAGTGCACAAGAAGAGAAACAGAAGTGAGGAAAGTAAACAAAGAGCTAACGAAACAAAACATAAGGTCAGATTATTTTTCTTTATCCACTGAGCTCTTTAGCAGAAATGTTTCCCGATGGTTTGTGTTATTGTTCACTGGTGCACAGTGAACTCTGTTCTTTCAACACTGGATTGTGTTGTTAATGTGCTAACTGGCTAACTAGCATCAAGACAGTCTTCCTGTTTCCCTTTTTGAATGACGAATACAGACGACCACCATATGCTGGTGTGGAGAGTTATCTCCCCTCACACAGGTGCAAAACGTACATGCTGGTTGGCCGTCGGCTGTCGTCTTTGCAGTGTGTTCATGTGCAGTTTTTTTGGCTGAGACACAGTGACATGCAGCGATGCAGCAGGGGGCCTTCGTCGCTGCTAGTTTTAATGAGCCGGTCTGTTTGTTGTGTAGAGGAAGAGACCTCTGTGGATAATTCAGCTCCTGGTTAAAACCTCCTGAACAATGAACACTGAAGGAATTCTAACCAGGAGAAGTTTCAGCTGGTTGCAATCTGCAGTCCTTGCCGCTGGACACCACTAAATCCCCCCCACTCTGACTACTGGGCCTTTAAAGTAAACGGGGACTGGTTTTAACAGCAGCAAAACTACATACAAAACACCGTATACAGTATAATCCAGGTCTCATTCATCCAGTCGTTTGCTCAGTACTCATGCATTTTCACTAAAGCGTAAATATGTAAGTGCCTCAAAGCCAGACGTTGAACTCTCCTGCCCCCTAGTGGTTAAAAGTTAATTAATGCAGCTTTAATAGAAGCAAAGTTTGAACATTAAGAGCAAGAAAACCCAACAACAAGATTAAGGGTGGCTGGTTCACATGAACAGCCAAATGCACACACACACCCACTCTTGTAGAGAGAGTGTGTGTGTGTGTGTGTGTGTGTGTGTGTGAGAGCAGCTTCGTGGCCTCACCTGACGCCAACAACAACATGGCTGAAAGTGTTTACGGCGGATCCTTTTACCCGCTGCAGTCGACACTTACCTGCAGGTGAAATGAAGTTACCTGAGAGTTACACTGAACTCTGAATGACCCCCCTCACCTCCACCTCCACCTCCCCCCCGCCTCGCTCTGCTCCATTAATTATTCCCGGGCCAATCACAGAGGATAGTGACAGGTGAGAGGACAGGTTGGTGTCCGTCCAGCTTTTACAGACGACATCCACGCTGATAAAGAGACGGGACAGGTTTCACTTTAGAGACGTTTCCTGACGTCCTCCGTTCGTTAACGTCACCGCACAAACAAACAGCAAGTACACAAACTGGTCCAGGGTCATTTAAGACTCTGTGAAACCCTGCTTACACCAGTTACAATGCTAAATAACAGCAATTTAAAGAGCAGAACAGACACCAGGGAGAATTTAGATTTAAATCCAAGTCATAAAACTGTATTTTTAACTGTTTCCAGCATCATTTAAAGACAGATTTGCAGGGTTTGTCCTGCCAGAATACTCTATATCCCACAAATCAGAGAGTACATAAATGATTGTGTTAATTCTGAGTAAAGTGTACCATTGTTATATTTTTAATTGGCAGAATATAATTTATTATATTACACAGAAATGATGATAAACCTGGCCTATATCTGTGTGCTTTGTGTTCAGGAAGATAAATTCATACAGCTTATGAAAAGGACAACAAAATGAGCAAAGATAACAACTGCTGTGTAATATATTAATAATTTTACAAGGTGGTGAAAGTGGACAAAAATATTAGTAATATATAGAACAGACAAACTAAACACTG